GTTATGTTAAATGTTTGACACTTATGTGGGAGCAGCAGCAGCTGCTGCCTCTCCCTCTCCCAGCCAAGGGCAATAAGACTACACATTGTCACTGTTATCCCTGTTACAGGAAAACCATTCGGCCACTCACATAGACACTTTCTCAGCAAAGAGATGATGTTATGTTGGCTTGACTCCTGGACTGTCAGGTTCTGACTTCATTCCCCCCCCCCCTTTCTTAGCTCTAATATATGTGTTTGTTAATGGAAAGACATCTGTGTCAATATTGTGTGAATACAGTTCTCAACCCATTTAGCATGGAGGAGTGTCATTGGCAGCAATAGCTAGACGATTCAAGATTCACTCTGGCTTCATTAATGATGAAATGGAACTGCTAACTTCACAGCCCAGTCTCCAAATTTCTCACCAAAGCATACTCAAGACTTTACTTTCCATCAGGATGTATCTTTCCAGTTATCCTGGTAGTGTTCTGGAATAGTTAGATCAGGAGACCATTTCATATTTGGGGAGAGGAAACGGGAAAGGCAGTAACAGCCAGGATGAAGTGTACATTTTCTATCTATCCAAGATTAAATTGCAAAATAGAGATCCATTTGAAGAACATTTGTTGTAGGAGACCACATTACATGATACTTACAACAATGGTATGAATTTAGATCAAACAGTAAGCTTAAAAAAGGATTTGTGCTTTTGGCATTTGTGTCTAGTACATAAGCCCATTTCATAAATAATAATGTATTGGCATGCAGGCCAGAAACATAGGATTCACCTCATGGGTAAATATATGACATTAAATAGGAGTCCACATTAAACAGTGGTTCTGACTAACAAAAGCTTATGCTGAAATCAATGTTGTTATTTATGCTGTTGCTGGACTCCTCTTTTTCTACAGCAGACTAGCAGGGATATCCCACTGAAATCGCCATATGTTTAGTGCCGTCTTTCTTAAATAGTGTACATGTACATTTTTTCTACCTTCTGGCATGCACAAGGCTGGCCCGCATACAAGGTAATTCCTGGATGTTACTTTGAGTAACAGCTTCAATTTTCTGTCTCTGATGTCCATTTCAGTGAGTTGACGTGCAAGAACACCCACAACTGTCACTAGATAGTCACTGGGAAACAAAAACAACTATTTGTGCTTGTGACCTTCTTCCCATTCTTTATATATACATTTTTAATTTGAAGTATGATGGAAGACAGATCATTATGGTAGCTACTGGTAGAAACAATACAAGGCCATTTCTTTTCACCGCTGTGAACCCATAGCCACCTCCTTTTCCCTTGCCCATATTTTTCTTAGAGCAAATGCACTGATTCCTGTCCACCAATTAGCTGCAATAACAAGTGATAATTTGACACAGTCAGATCTTTCACATCACTGTACTTTTCAGTTCAGGCCCTTCAGCAGAGTCATCAAGGGATAAGCCATTGGGTTATGGGATATCATCCGGTGGAGAACATACTTGTAGGATTTAAGCCACAAAGCTTGATTACAGATCCAGACTACTTTAAAATTCCGGAAGCCTACCCTGAATAAGATGTTGTGATGGTCTTCCATAAAGGCAATTTCTTAACTTTCAGCTGTTGTACTGTGCTGTCATTTAAAGCACAGGTGTTGACAGAAACTTGTATAAAAATGGCATCTTGCTCATGTTTGCACTCTTCTTATCTGCTTAATTTACAGACAAAAATAAATTCTTAGTACCGTTCTTGGGGCACAGCCAACACAGCTCCCAGTGAGATCCGTTACTTTAGTGTATTGTGTCACTCCTAAATGAACCACATAGCACATGGTTAGAACTTATGTCAGAGGCTGAAATAGCAAAATAGATTGCCAAGTTTTGCTGGGTAACTTTTGGTTAACAAGCCTCATTTTTACCTCGTGTTACTTTCTCACACTATTGATGAATATGATTCTTACATTATTATTTGGCCAGGCAGACTGTAGCCAACCGTTTCCAGCTTTTTCAGAACCAGCATTTCAGCACTTTTTCCTATTTTTTTAATGCAAAAAAACAGAATGAGAAAACGTAGTTGTATTTCCGTTCTCTCATCCTTCCCAGTCCCCACTCACATTACTGACCTAAGTAAGATTTCAGCAATGCAGTGTAAACTACAAAACTAGCAGGTAATTCAGCTTAAACAGCATTCACATGACAGCAGCAGAGCTGTGTTGTGGCTCTGCTCTGTGCACATGGGATGGCAACTGTGATTTAAAAGCGCAAAAGAGATGTGCAGACCCTCCTCTGACTGCCTTTCCTTTTGTGTTGCCTTTCAAGGAATTGCTCTCTCTGTGAGACTTGCTTCTTAGTATATCCATGCAGGCCAAGAAAAGATTTAGGGACAAGAGTGATGGGCAGGTTCAGCACATCACACTCTTGTTACCCTTTCGCACTTTTATCTACATGTATGTGCTTTACAGTTACCCCTGCTGAGCTCAAGAGTATCAAGCACAACTTGTCATCAAAGTCTTCCAGAATTCCCACTTCAGCAGACTGCAAATCTAAAACTCTAATGCTGCCTTGTGTTGGTAATCTAGTCACTCTGCTAATTGACAGTAAGCAATCATACCCAATGCTCCCTCTAAGCTGTGAAGTCTTGTGAGCAAAACCTCTACTTTGTGAGCTACTGGCATTACAGTTGTGAGCGAGTGATTTGTCTACTGCATAAATGAGTTTGCTCTGGAGCCATACTTCCTGAGCGAAGACGAAAATGTGTGAGCCGGAGGCTAAAAAACGGTGAGCTAGCTCACACTAACTCAGCTTAGAGGGAGCACTGATACCCTTGACCAACCCTGCCTCTCGGCACGTCTTGTGACACAGCAGTTCACGAAGAGCAGCCATTCCTTATGCGCTGCAGCATGTTAGTTAAAATCATTTGTTTATGCCATTACCTGGAAAGTTTTATACCTGTGGCTATCTACGAAATGTAGTAGTAATTAATTGTGACTACAATTAAAAACACGTTTATTTCACAGCAGTCACATTGGAACAGGATTGTCATTGGTGCTCAGTTGTAACTTTTTACACTCATACAATGACGTTAATGCTCTTCATGCTGCTATGCATTCTCATAGTAGAGAAGTGGGTGTACCACATCCCATCTGGCTAATCTGACAGATGTATGCAAATAGCAGTGCTTTAGATAACTTGTGCTATTCTTAATACTATAGTTATTTTCCCTTCCAATTACATTTTGCTATAAATATGTGTGCCCTTAAGTTGATCCGAGTATCAATTTCAGCTAACTAATCAAATTATCTGCTAAGGTTTCAGGAATTATAGACCTGCCTTTATTTCAACAAAATGAGATGGCTTTTAACTCTCAGAACTTGCCAAGAATAGATTTATTTCAAAGTTGAAAAGACTGTTTTCAGAACACAGACCTTTAGCTTCGATAAACGTTGTGCACAAGTCAGCAAAATCCAAGACATTAAAAAAAAAAGGCAAGGGTAAAATTTGGAGATTAATGAGAGGGAGTTCTCAACACTTTGGAATGGCTCCTGAACAAGCTAGCTTACAAGGCTGTATTTCACATGAAAGAGCATCCATGCACAGTGGCTCGTCTTAGTAACTGGAAGCCACCATGTTTCTTCCATGCCTTTGCAAATGCTTTGCAGTAGTATAGGCAGACAAATGGAATTTTTTTGGGGGGGAGGGGCACAACCATTCCATCTGGCTAGTTATACAGAATAGCTGCAGCAGTTTCAAGAAGTCTTTACATGGTGGCTGTTTTTTGCAACATGATCCTGAAAAAAGGGGCAAGTCTACCGGCTCAAGGGTTTCAATGCATGTGTTTTGATGACGGGCAGTGTTCTTTCAGAAAAGGGTTGTTTTTCAATAACTTGAAACTTTTGCAAGTGCTTAAAAACATATGGGCATACAAAGGCTGCAATCCCGTACACTCTTCCCTGGGAGTAAACCAAACCGAACACACAGTCAATCTTAGATCAAGATGGGCAGCCATGTTGGTCTGAAGCAATAGAACAAAGTTAGAGTCCAGTTAGTACAGGCTTCTTATCTCAAGTAGCACTGAAAGCATATTGCAGGTTATCAAGTACACCAATTTGAAGTAGATTTGAAAGCACTTTCAGATATAATGAGGAGGCCTGTTATTCTCATTCAAGAAACCCCATGGGGCAGATGTAAGCACCAAGTCATGCCTGAGGACACTCTTTGGATTGCAGGACATGTTCTTCTAAAAGAAAAATGACAGCAGAGAAACTAACTGGTATTCATAATGTATTTTCTGTGCATCACTATCAAATTTTAATTTTGGAAAAAAACCCTAAATAATATCATTATTTCTTCCAAAAAAAAAGTATAGTTATACCACAATCCAGGCAAATTTCTTTACATCTTCCAATTATATGGGGAGAGAAGACAGCCAGTGTCCTTTCACCAGCTACTGTTCTCTACTCCCTCCCGCATGTGCTGTGTTATATACCTAAAATGCTGGTTGCTACAGCAACTGAGACTGGATAGGTGTACAGCAGAACTGGGGAGAGGAGTGTCTGGAGTACAGCTTTATTCTCTCTCCTTTACTGTCATGAGATTTAAAAGAAAATACCTGTGTTACAAGAAAACTGTTAAGACAGAGAGGCCAATTTTTAAAACAACCCCCTGTATGTAAGAGCCCCATTTTGCTTTATCAGTCTTTAGGGTCAGTTTGCTCACATGACCTGAATAAACTATTTACCATATCATCCCTATTTCCTTGGGCCTCATAATAAAGAAAATGCAGAGGGGTTTTTTTTAATGGATGCAAATTTACAAGCATTTTAGTCAATGCACAGAAATATCAAACATGGTAGCATAGAGAGCCAGGCATGGTTTAGCGGTTAGTGTCAGACTAGGATCTGGGAGACCCAGGTTCGAATCCCCGCTCTGTCATGGAACCTTGCTGGGTGACCTTAGACCTAACCTATCTCACAGGGTTGTTTTGAGGGATAAAATGGAGAATTATGTAAGCCACCTTGAGTCCCCATTGGGGAGAAAGGTGGGATATAAATGAAGTAAATCTGCTTCAATTTCCATTTATTTTAATGTGGAAGAAGAGACTATTCAAAAGGGGAGAATGTTCAGACACCATCACTTCTTGAGCTTGGTGGAAGGTACAATCCCCCCCTCCCCCGGACCAAATCCTGCCAATGGCCTGACATGGATGAAAAACAAACAAAACTTTCTAAAAAATGGAAGGTTTCTACATTGCTCTTATTGCATTAACACCAAAAGATCTTACAATGTAGCAGCCGCTCAGTCACTTTGTAAAGGCTAGCCATCACACAAGGGCATGCAAACAGCCAGAGTTCATTGCATTTTGCTTTATATTTAGTGCTGCTGATCATTCAGGCTGCTGCTCTCACCCTTCTCAAACAATTCAATGTTCAACCAAATAAAAAGGATACTGAAGTGATGCTGGAAGAGCAGCAGGTAAGTTTACACATTCAGCCCACACCAATAAGGAAACACTCAGGAGTTGTCCTATTATCGAATATTTTTTTAAAAAAAGAAAAAAGTTTTCTGTGCATCATTGTCAATTTGAAGTCCCACTGAATCATGACGTCCCTTGACGTTTTTGTTGCTGATTTCGGATGACTTCTAATTGTTTTTTGCATTGCTGGTAATACGTGGAAAGGCTTTTGTTCTCATCTAAAAGCTTTTTATGTTCTTGCACCAGACGTGATGTGTTTTGCTGGTCTTTTTCATCCTGGTCCAGTTCTGCTATTAGTTCTTGCCTGAAACAAAAATGGTTGAGATTAGAATGTCATACAGAAAATGTCATGATTTACATATCTGATAAATAGCTAGAAGCAACCTTTTAACAATCACTCAATGTAATGCATCGCACTTCAGGAAGACATGAGTGAACATTAGGAGACCCTGCATGACTAGGGGATCACATTACTCAAAGAATAATCAGTTATCTAACTGGTAGATCCATATCTATATATATCCCAACACAGCAGTCAGTCCTTCTTTTGTACCTGCCTAAATGCTCCCCAGAATGGATCCATTGCTGGGAATACATTCAATAGCTGACCCCATCCATCATGATATGCTTAAGACCCTCAACTGTTTGCATAACTGCAGTGTTGCAACTTATGCACATGCTTCTATAAACCATAAAGAAGAATTATTGTTAAGTTACCTCTTTGGGGACAAACTGACATTGTGGCAAAACCGGGATTGCCGGGGAAAACCATGTCGGCATGTGCTTGCCTCCTACAGCCACACCATGCAGTGTGTTTCTTATCTCTTGGAGCAACATCCAATGAGGTGGTGAAAGGGAGTGGAAACACATGGCATGAGAGGACATATAAGAAACGTCATGGTACAGGGACAAAGAGGAATGAATGTAATGGTGAGGTTTTATGTCACAAGGCTGAGTCTGTCCCAGTACTTCCCTTGGCCCTCAAACAACCAGTTGCATCTGATTTATACAAAGGCAGGCAATAATTTACTACAGAAATGTAACTCTCTTCTGAGAAGCAAGTGGAAGAATCTTTGCTGCTTTCACCATGCCACTACTACTCTTCTACAACTTTCTTTTTTTTTTTTTTAAAGAAAAGACCAGCTCAACAGACTTGGAAGATTTTTCTGGCTCACAGTGATGCAGACTGTTAAAGTTTCACCATTTCTACACCATTTTCAAAATAGCTTGTTTTCTATGTTGAGATGAACTCTTGTTAAAATAGCAGAGACAAGAGTCACATAGACTATTTTCTCCTCAACTGTAATTTGATTTAATTGATGAAGTAAGCATTCAAAACACTTTCTGCCTCTAATTTTAGATGACTGAATATTCCAAGCCGACTTGTGATAAATTAGTTTTCATAAGGGCCTAAAAGACCCCAAGTTAATTACAGGGCAGAGCTTCCACAGTCCAGCTGACCAAAACACTGCTTTGATATCTACTAGTGAAGAAACAATGGGACTGCTCAATTTCAGTCTTCTATGGTGCTTCCTTCCCTACTTCAATCCATGACTAAAGCAGGAAAGTGCAGAAGATGCTGCTGCAGTAATTGGGAGAACTGCTGCCTGACACCTGGAAGGTTCCAGCTACACTGTGGAAGGCCAAGGCACTGGAGAAGTCACTGGGAAAAGAAGAGGCAGGCTGAGAGGCTCACTGCAGAATTGTAGTCGCATCCTTGGTGGTGAAGGGGACACTAGATCACTGACAACAGGAATAATATACCAGAGCCTGAGTGAAGAAACTAATCATAGTCCTGGAAGGGGGATGTTCTTTAACAGCATCTCACATTCACACCTGTTCTATGTTACGTACTGGGGGTGTGTGCATGTGTCCGTGTGTGTGTGTGAGAGAGAGTGTGTGTGTGCTGTCGGAGCTCAGGGAGCGTGTGTATTTGTATGTGTGTGTGTGAGAGAGGGAGACAGTGCGAGGAGGCTGCCGTGCATAGTTCTCCCTGGCCCCTGGGCTGCCAGCGCCAGAGCTTTGCCCCTCTCAGGGACCGGGGTTTGTGTGTGAGAGAGACATGGTGGTGGGGGGGAGCAAGTCCCTGGCCCCACTGCTGCTGTCAGGGCTCGGGTGTACTGTGAGAGATGGCAAGAGAAGGGTTAAGTCCCCCTCTTCAAGGCTGCTTGAATCAAAACAGCTCCCCCTGATGTAAGCTGCTTTGGTCCCCATTGCAGAGAAAGACTACTTTTCCTCCTGGGAAACCACTGGTGCCAATCTCCAGGCGAGGGCTGGAGATCACTCAGAATTAGAACTGCTCTCCAGATGGCAGAGATCAGTTCCCCTGGAGAAAATGGTGGACTCTGTGGCACTCAGGCCTTCAGAGCACGGAAGAGGCTGCAGGTCTGTGTGTGTGTAGAAATGGAAAGCTGAAGAGTGAAGGGAAAGTAAAGGTAGGTTGATGATTGGCTGGGAAGGAGATCAAGTTGCCAACTCCAGGTTGGGAAATTCATGGAGCTTGGAGGGGTGGAACCTGGAGAGGGTGAGGTATGAGGAGGGGTGGGACCTCAGACAGGTACAATGCCATAGACTCCGCCCTCCCAACCAGCCATTCCCTCCTGGGTAACAATTGTTGCCAATCTCCATGTGAGGGGTGGAGATTGCTCAAAATTGCAACTGTTCTTCTGGTAGCAGAGGTCACTTCCTCTGCATAAAATGGTCATTATGCCCTGTGTCATTATGCCCTGCTGAGGTTATGCCCTGAGCCCGCTTGCGGGGAGGGCAGGGTAAAAATACTAATAAATAAATAAAATAATAAATAAAATAAGGTTGCCATGGAACATTGATGCTGAGTGCCCAAGGCCCTGCCACTCTCCCAGAGCCTCTTTCTAGAGCTCGTTGTATTTATTTTCACAGCGGGCCTTATTCCTAGTAGGAAAATAAAGATGGTTCAGATAGGATAGCATGTTTTTAATACACTGATTTACCTCTCCCATGGAATTATAGTAGCAACAAGGGGGGAGCTACAAGGATCTGAGAGGGACATCAGACTTCCCCACTACCCACTATTTC